CCCCCCCCCCGCCGCGGGGCGGCTGCCGCCTGTAGGTGTCGCGCAGGAGGGAGAGCGAGACTTGGTGCGGCCGGGTCAGGCTTCACGCGGGATCCCTGCCTCGGCCGGGCTGACTCAGTGCTGTATCATTTCTAGCTTAGTTACTAGCAGTGTAAAGGGGAGAACAAAACCATTTCTTAAGTTACTCGAAAGGCTTAATTCTGCACCTCCTGTGAAATTATTTAAGAGTTCAGGGGCTGAAAGGAGCAAAGGACCCCCTCCCCCCAGAGTGGCTGGAAATGAGCATGAGGTATCTTCTGAGGTGAGGAAAATGTATTAAAACTGGATTGGGGAAATGGTTGCCCGACTTTATAAATTCATTAAAAATCATTGAATTATACACTTACCATGGGTAAATTTTATAGTATATAAACTATACCTCAACAAAGCTGTTTCTAAAAATAGGAAAAACCCTTGGGTGGAATGTTTAAATGGAAAATGTAGCCTTAATTTTAATAGGCAGAACAAACTAGAAATAGCCCAGATGCCTGAGGTCCCAAGACAGGATAATTATGCTGCCTCCGCAAAGCCAAAGTTAGCAGAACTCCATTCTTAGAACGCAGCCGTCTGCACCCTCACTGGTAGCGAGCGTGTTCATTAGACCTGAGTCTGCGTAGAGCACCTGGCAAGGCCAGGCATGTGTGCACCCAGTCATCGGCTGATGCTGCTTTATTAACTGTTCGTGGCAGATGGTCAGTGCCATGCTGGGTCCCCTGGACAGGTTCAAAGAAGCAAGGACAGGTAGGCAGGATACCGTGAGCATCCTGGGTCAGCAAGGCCGTGGGTAAGGCTTGGGTGGTGTGAGTCAGTCAACAAACCAAGACCAACAGGACAGTGTGAGAAGGCCCGCAGCCTTAGCCAAGAGAGACTGGAGTCAGGGAGATCAGAGAGAGGCTGGAGTCAGGGAGATCAGAGCCCATTAAACTAGTCTGCAGGGAGCCTCGGGCTGCCTAGGTTCCAATAAAACTCTGTTCCTTGTTTAATCGCCATAAGCCCCAGCTTTGTGTATAAACCAGGGTGAATAAGAACACCCAGTTTTATGGCACCATCCAGAAGATTCACAGAAACCAGAAGCATCACATCATGTACTCCGCCAATCCTCAGTTACAATCGTCACCCCAGAACCTACAGGCCCAAGGATGACGAGCTCTTACAGAGAGCATGGCTTCTCAACAGGTTTTCCCAGTGAAAGTGAAGTCATCTTTCTGCATCTTTGAAGGAAAAGAAATATTAATAGCAAGGGCTTGGGGGGAGGGGGAAGGAAATGCCAATCATAAAATCAAAAAGCAAGTCTTGTTACCAATATTGCCATTTTAAAATGGTCCTTTGCTCACGTACCTGTAATCAGATCCAATTGTCAGTTCAGACCGGAAGGGCAGGAGGTGACGAGCGCTGAGGGTCCTGCCTCGCAGAGCCTGTGCGCTGCAGCTCTCCACCTGCAGGAAGCCGCCTGCTCTTCGCCTCCACCGCTCTGCAGGAGGTAGGCTTGGTGTCTGAGCAACTCTGGGAAGTCAACAGCAGGTGGGCCTCACAAGCCGGTGATCACAGAGGGGAATGGGTGGCCGGCCACCCCAGACGGCGACATCACCTACCCCACGCAGCACCTCCCCCTCCCCCACGCGCCCCTGCGGCTGCCGCCTGTAGGTGTCGCGCAGGAGGGAGAGCGAGACTTGGTGCGGCCGGGTCAGGCTTCACGCGGGATCCCTGCCTCGGCCGGGCTGACTCAGTGCTGTATCATTTCTAGCTTAGTTACTAGCAGTGTAAAGGGGAGAACAAAACCATTTCTTAAGTTACTCGAAAGGCTTAGGAATTGCTGATAATCAGGGGGAGAAAAGCAAGGAAAGGAAGAAGGGAGGGTGGGAGCGTGGGCTGGAAAGCACGAGCAGAAAAAACCTACCACAAGGGTCATCCGAGGATGGTGGGGAACCTCCTCCTGGGCCACACTGCAGTCTTTCCCTTTGCTTCCTGCTTCTTAGCCTGGGCTACGATCACACGTGGCTGGCTCTGCTGTTGGAGTCCCCCCACTGACTTGAAAAAGCAAGCCAGCTGTAGTGCATGTGTGCCGGAAATCCGGAGAGGAGAACCGAGAACGGATTGTGCTATGGCCTTCCCCCTAGAGGGTGCTTTCTCAGTCCCCCTCTCCACCCCGCCCATGTCGCCTCTAGCAATTTAAGGGCTCCTTGATGAGAACAATACTATTGCCAACACCTATGCAAAAATCTCTCAAAGAAAAACACTTGGGGAACACAAAGACTCACTAAAGCACCCTTGTCCTCAGGAACTGAGAGTTATAAGAAGCCCGGCATGCACGCATACACACGTATTCTGGTGTATTCCATTGCCAATAACAGGAAATACCCGAAACCAGATGCTTTATAAAAATAGAGGCTTATGCAGTTCACATTTGGGAGGTTCAGGGTCACCTCTGGGTGGGGTGCCACTCAGCATGGCAGAGGCCAGGAGACCTTGGTCTGTGTTCCAGGCATCTGTCTCATTCCCTCTGCTCACAAGACTGCCACACTCAATCAGGGAGCCCTGCCCTGACAACATTAATTCCCCCTCATCTCCTCCCAAAGTCCTCACCTTTTGACACCATAATCAGATTAAGTTTTCATTTACTTAGTCCTGTTATGATGGCTCAACACATGAATTTTCAGGACACAAATCCAAACCATATATATAAATAAATATATATAT